TCTTATTCCTGCCCAGCTCTGTCACTTTCTGTCTGTCTGTACAGACCTCCAGACCTCCATGGTTAACTAGTGTTGGAATTTAAGGCATGTGCCACCATACCTGGCTCTGTTCCCAGTGTGGCCTTGAACTCACATAGATCCAGACAGATCCCTGCCTCCCAAGTGATAGGATCAAAGGTGTGTGCTAACATTGCATGACTTTTGTGTTTACTTGTAATGGCTGGCTTTTTTCTCTGATCTCCAGGCAAGCTTTATTTATTAGAGCACAAATAAAATATCACCACAGGCAAATCAACTAAGTGACATCTCAATTTCTTTCTGGAGGGGAAAAAAGGATTTCATATTTCCCTTCACTCCTATTACCACTAGGTGACAGATAAGATCAAATTTCTACTGGTATTTATGAAGCACTCTGATAGTGATTGGCATGCAGTGAACAGAGACTTTAAAATGTAAATAGTTTTGTGAAATTATGTTTCTTTGGTATAGGCCTTTAATGTGTTAATGCACATTATAATTACAAAAGGAAATTTAATATACAATATTTCATTTTTTCTTTTATCAAGAAATGAGGAGGTTTTTGTCACTTTTCGAACTCTCAGATTACTATTCCAAGTAGATCCTTTTGGAAAATGCTACCAAGTCTCTAACCACCTTGCCTATACACACACTGCAGAGAAATCCCTGAGTCCACCGCCTTCATCCTATTTCCCTAACATCCCCCCTCATAATTTCCTTAAACCAACAGCAACCACTACCCAAATGACAGCATTCCCCATGCTTTGGATCTCACTACTTTGCTCAACACAGAAAACGTCTCCTTCCCCGTGCTCCTTTGACAAACCACAAGGGTGGATCCTACTGAACAAACACAGGGGGCCTCCTAACTGACCTGAAACATAGTTTGTAAAGCATTATGGAAGTTCTTTTGCAAACCAATAGTTTCTCTTAAGTTGGCAGCACAGTAGCTGTGGCTGTGTAAACCACTGCGGCCAGGCACAGCCGTGACGTCTCAGAAGCCGGTCTGTCCCCTCCCTGCGGTCACTGAAATCATTCAAATGGGGGCAGATTGACGACAAAGGGAAAAGTGGAGAAAGAACAAGACCTGAACCAGGGGTCCAAACGTTAATTTACAAGTTAATTACAAAGTGTTTTACAAAAATATTAGACATTTCTCTAAATGATGGATAGTGACTGTTGAGGCAAAGGTTTTCAACTTAATTTTTGATATATTTAATGTTAGTATAACTAAAATACTGGTAAAATACTGAACGGGTTTCAGTCCATTATACATAAATAACTATTTCCATTCAAAGTGAGATTTCTACGCTGATGAGAAGTTTTTTAAAAAAGAAGACAGATTCTGTAACAGATTTTAAATGATCTGTTTTAATATTTAAATTTGACAAAACAGCAAAGAACTTAATACTTTGCTTCTTACCTCTAGAATACAGTAAAACATTTAAAAATATTCTTCTCAAGTCACCTGATATTATCCATTAAAAGAAATACGTGCTTCATGACAGTATTTTTCATTGAAACATTAATCTTGAAGTTGTAAACTTGAAGTTGAATGTAATTTCAGATACTGACTGCAAGGGTCTAAGGGCTTTCCACTTGGTTCTAGTTTTATTAAAATTCTCCTTTCTAGACACGAGGATCGCCCAATGATGGAGAAATGGCTGAGATCTACATCAACAACCTGGACATGAGTGGGAGTAATGAAGGGCGAGGGTTGAGGGAAAGAGAGCCTGTGGGAGTGGGAGATCCCAGCTGGATCAAGAACAGAGAGGGAGAATAAGGAATAGGAGACCATGGTAAATGAAGACCACATGAGAAAAGGAAGAAACAAAGTGCTTGAGAGGCCCACAGAAATCCACAAAGATAACCCCACAAAAGACTGCTGGCAATGGTCAAGAGACAGCCGGGACTGACCTACTCTGGTGATGGGATGGCCAAACACCCTAATAGTTGTGCAAGAAACCCCATCCAAAGACTGAGGAATCTGGATGCAGAGATCCACCGCTAGGCCCCGGGTGGAGCGCTGGGAGTCTAATTAGTGAGAAAGAGGAGGGTTTATATGAGCGAGAATTGTTGAAACCAAGGTTGGATAAAGCACAGGGACAAATAGCCAAACGAATGAAAACACATGAACTATGAACCAAAGGCTCAGGGGCCCCCAACTGGATCAGGCCCTCTGAATAGGTGAGACGGTTGATTGGCTTGATCTGTTTTGGAGGCAACTAGGCAGTGGGACCAAGTCCTGTGCTCATTGCATGAGTTGGCTGTTTGAAACCTGGGGCTTATGCAGGGTTGCTTGGCTCAGCCTGGGAGGAAGGGACTGGATCTGCCTGGACTGAGTCTACCAGGTTGATCTCAGTCCTTGGGGGAGGCTTTTCCCTGGAGGAGGTGGGCATGGGGGTAGGCTGGGGGGAAGGGGAGGGGGCAGGAGGGGGGAGAACAAGGGAATCCATGGCTGATATGTAGAACTGAATGGTATTGTAAAATAAAATAAAAGGAAAAAAAAAACAACAAAAAAATTTTTTTTAAAGACAGCACAATCATATACATAAAAAAAAAAATTTCCCCTTTCTAGCAACTGAAAGCCGAAGATATCTTAAATGAACTTTGATTGGGCTGAGAGTTTTTTAAAGACTGCTATATAGATAGATTTTGAGCCACAGATGAAAAGAAATTCCATTTTGGATATACAAGCAACATTACTATTTCCAAACGTGCCACGCCTTTGACACACTCGTCATTCTGGTCAACCGTCTAGCAGTCCTGCGATCCCTGCTGCTTCTGTGGAATGCCTATTTTCATACGCGTGTACTTGCTTTCTTCAGAATGTCCCTGGTAGAGGCCATGGAAACCATGAGCCATGGAAATCAGCAGACTGTCGGTCCCCATCATTGCAACTCAGGGTTAGGACTGTGTCTGATACACAGTAGACAACAAATGCTTATGAAATGTTGTAGCTGGCAAGCTGGTGAGACAGATGTGCAGTGCTTACACTCTGGCTGCAGCTTTGCCAGCCCTCTAGCTGCTTCCTCACCTTAACGTAGAACAGCAGGAGCTCTGCCTCAGATGGTCACTGGGAGGGAGTCCACACAGTCCTCCCTTTCGGGAGCACTCAGTGTCCATTAGCTGTCATGTCAGCATCAGCATCTTCCTTCCCATCTTTCTTGGTCATCATTTGTCTCTTGTTTCAGACACACAGCATGTGCTCAATAAAGGCATGTTCAGTGAGGGGACCGCTCAGTGGAGAGCAGTTGGCACTTGCATACACAAATACGTTTGACTACCATCAGTGCATATTTTGCTATGATTCAGATAAATACTAATTTTTAAGAAACATAATTCAAAGTTGTTTTGATTGAGTTGTTTTAATCCCAATTGATTTTAGCGATTCAGCCACATAGTTCCTTGGGGAGTAGTTGTTTTTTTGTTTTTTTGTTTTTTGTTTGTTTGTTTGTTGATTTTGGTAGTGCCTTAGCAGAGAGTTTTGGTTCATTCATACCAAAAAGTATCATCTGAAACCAAACTAACATAATTTTTAAAATGGGCAAACAATTAATTTTTCATAATATTTAGTGACTTTAGTTTAGCAGTCAATATGCAATGTTGTTACAGATTAAATTCCAACATGTAAGCATGACTATACTTTCTGAAAACCATAGTCAAAATGGCTTAAGCAGCAACTATCGAGTTATATTTTTGTTAATTGCCTCATTATGAATAGGAAAGCAAAGTCTAGGTATGTAGCTTTGAAATAGCAGTGCAGGGGAGATGGGTGCCAGGACAAGCTGACCCTGGAGTTCACTGGCCAGCCAGCCTAACCAAATCAATGGACTCCAGGTCCAGCGAGAGATCCTGCCTCAATGATAAGGCAGAAGACAGCCAATGTTAACTTCTGGCCTCCACATGTGTACATATGTGTACATGAAATGACATACACATGTGCACACAAACATACACAGAAATTGAAAAGAAATACCAAACACTAATTAAAAACTCATAAAAATCATCTAGAAATGTAATAGTAATACATGAATATTTTGTCCCATGAATCCCTTTTTTTGACTGACTGTTGATGGGGCTGGCCTTAAGTGGGCCCAGTGCGTTGACTACAGTTGGTGTGAGTTAATCATTACAGAAGTTGTCTAGGAGTCTAGGAAACAACATTTCCTAGTCCTTCACCCGGTCTTCTGGTTTGTACATACTTTCTGCTCCCTCCTTGGCAACATTTCCTGAGCCTTAGAGGGGATGGTTTAAGTTGTTTAGAGCTGGAGCTGTGTCTATTGCCTATTTTCTGTATCTTGGGTAGTTATCTCATAACTTTTTGAACACAGAATACGGTGGAAATGCTGTTGGCTTTGGATTCTATGTCATGAGTTATGTAGCTTCTCTCTGGCATTCTCAGAATACGTACATGTTCCTAGGCCCCTTCTTGAAATCCAGAATATGCAGAGGGAAACCAAAGACACATGAGAGGTCATGTGCAGCACTATTGTAGAACATCTCAGATGAAATTCAAGTTGCTAGTGAGCAGCACCTGCCAGCCATATGAATGAGCTACTCCAGATGTGTAGCGAAGCACATTTTTAGATGACTAGCCATGAGACCCTAGGCAAGAGCCTACTCGTTGAGCTCAGACAACTCCGCAACACACAAGAGGTAAGAGTAAATTGTTGTTTGAAGTCATTAAACATGGTTGAATGTTTCATATGCAGCACTAGACAACTGACACTGCAGAAGAATACAAAAGTGAGCCTTGTCTGGTGTAAAGATGCTATGAACACCACTAACAAGTAGCTTGGAGCCCTAAAGTTTTTCTTTGAAGTCTGTGGAACAGCCGTAGTTTTCTTCAGCCTTAACTCCCTCCTTCATTTTCAAAATCATCACAAAAATAATGAATGTTTGAGAGAGGGAGAAAGAGAAAAAGAGAGTGAACAATTTTTAAGAGCTTAGTCTTCTTTCTATTTTCTGTTTCGTTGCAGGAGAGAAGACAACAAAACTCGGAGTCTTGTGTAAATACGAAACAGACCTGGTCATTCTAAGTCTCTAAAAGAAGGGAAGATTGGTGTTGGACATGGAGTCGCAGAGCAGGCACAAACCGCCAGAGGTATTTGGTGGTAACATCTGGAAGGCAGCTCTCAGCACTAGTCCATGGATCCCTCGCTCTGGCACCCCACAGGCGTGAAGCCGGGAGGCCTGCCATGGCTGTCACCCTGCCCAGTTGTCATCCCATTCCTATCCTGTCACTCAACCACCTTGCTGATGCTACTTCTTCCCTGTAGTGGCTCTGGATGACTCTGCTCTGCAAACCAGTCATGTGCTTTGAGAGGAAAATCTTAACAGTTGAATGATCTTAAAAGACGGCAAGATGAGACCATACATAACAAAAAGTTTGAATGCAGAGTTTCATATCGTTTCCATGTGTCTGTGTGTCTCTCTGTGTGTATGTGTGTCTCTCTCTGTGTATGTGTCTCCCTGTGTGTTTGTGGGCTTGTGTGTCTGGGTATATGTCTCTCTGTGTGTATGTGTGTATGAGCATCTGTGTGTGTCTGTGTGTCTCTCTGTGTGTATGGGTGTATCTCCCTGTGTATGTGTCTCTGTGTGTTTGTGTTACTTGTGCTTTTAATTTCTTTTTAAAGTTTATTTTAATTGCCTGTTTGAGAGAATGAGAGAGAAGGGGGGCGAATTGGATGGGGGTAGATGGGGAGTATCTGGGAGGAGATGAGGGAGGGGAAACTGTGATCAGAATATATTATATAAAATTATTTTCAATAATAAAAAGGAAAAAAGGGAGTCTGGATCAGAATAATTGAGAAAGTGGCATTTGAATAAAGATGTGAAGGACCCACAGGCAAGCCTAAGGGTACCTAAAGACAGAATATTCTAGATGGATACCAGTAAAAGGAAGCTAAAATTAATCATCCACTGATGTCAGCATCTGCTTATATCAGGAAAGTCATATAATAAGACAAAATTTATACATATTAATAAGTAATATTTGTGATTTTTATTATAGTCTATTTAATATTCATTCAATTTCTTCTGAGATGGGGGGTCTTCTTTTGTAGCCCAAGGTGGCTCTGAACTAAAATTCTTCTGCCTCAGCCTCCTGAGTAGATGGCATTAAGGCGTGCACAGCACATCTGGTTATCCAGTGAACTTATTGAACACAAGTGAGCCACCCATAGCAGCAGTCATAACAGTAAGACAGTTTCATCCTCAAGAACTGCAGTGAAGGAGGCAGAAGGGGCAGCACTGCATGACAGACCGTGTGGGACAGCACTGCATGACAGACTGTGTGGGACAGCAGCAGTGCATGACAGACTGTGTGGGACAGCAGCAGTGCATGACAGACTGTGTGGGACAGCAGCAATGCGTGACAGACTGTGTGGGACAGCAGCAATGCATGACAGACTGTGTGGGACAGCACTGCATGACAGACTGCGTGACAGACTGTGTGGGACAGCAGCAATGCATGACAGACTGTGTGGGACAGCAGCACTGCATGACA